ACATATTGTTGTATTTTTTGTTATTCTTTCCAAATGGTTAACACATGTGACAGATAAATGGTAAGTGTGCAATTAAATGCTTAGAAATATGTCACATTTATAGAGAACCTGGCAAATCTGACAACATTTTAATTTGACTGAACTTCTTAAATGCAGCCACCATAAGGTGACCTCCATTTTTTGACTGCTGATGCCGATATTACTAGCCAGGAATCCTAATCTAGCAATCAGCTTCCCTGCACAGATTCAACAGGATAGCTTTTATTTTGAGTCTATTCAAGGTTCTCATTTTTAACTGAAGGGCTTCTAAACTTGCCCTCTGCAAAAGATGCTCCCATATTGGCACTCAAATCAGCTCCCGCTCAAGCACCATACTCAGCAACAGCCAGATATCACATCTCTTAAAGGTATGTTATCTGTTGAACCATACTATGAGCGAAAGATTACTCGCTGGAGAGGCCTGTAGGTGGAAAGAGAGCAGTACCCAGAGTGTGGGATATACAGATAAAGCGCATTAGACCTGTATGAGAATGTGGGTCCCAATTTGAGGTAAGCAGCCAATCTGCACATACGGTGGAGCACCATTTATATTTATCACAGTGGTGATGTCTGTTGGGATCAAGCACTGACACAGCACGGAACTTTTTGTACGCGCACGGACTGTATACTAGCTGTGTGAACTATATATGAATTTATATGCATTTAAGTATTTATTTTTTTATAGTATGGATCTTTTTTCACATACATGGACTGTATATTAATTGTGTGCATTTTTATGTGTTTAAGTATTTACTTTTAGCACGGATTTTCATTTTCATTATCTTTATGGATCTACACACCACGGTTTAGATGGTGTTATTGGGAAACATTTAATCTGATTTATTTCATTTTATATGAGCTTAGTACTTATTTATGAGTTTATTTATATGTGCACAATCATATTGTTTTGTATATAGTTTATGTTTGTAGCACTAGATTGTGATTATGATAATATTGGTCATTTTATGATTTACAGCACTAGGTTGTGGTATCAATTTCACCTAGACTGTCACACCTATTTAATTTGAGGAGATTGTGCAGCACCACAAAATCATATTTACTCTGCTTACTGTGATGTGACACACAGCTAGGTGTTTCCAGCAATCTTTGTACATCAATTAGATCTTAATCTTTGGCAGAGCATAAGTTGACTTATTTTAATTGGTTTTCCCAGACCTCCATTGCTTTATCTTGGAGTGGGGATCCACCCCACATATACGGTTTATTATACTATACAATAAAAATGGCCCATAACAATGCCCCCATTACTATTGTAGATGATAAGGAAAAACTAAATCATCAAAGCTGAATTCTAGGTATGGATATTTTTATATTGTTTCATTAGTCCAGCTTGGACCAATGTAACTATACATATAACATACCTGTGGGATCCCTCTAGAGGCCAGTAACCACTGTAGCAGACACCGTTCCTACAAGTGAACTCCACTGATTGGACGAGGTGTAACATATGGTATGGTGATGTCATGCTCTCCACCTCGTCCAATAAGAGGATGCTTGCATTCATTGGAAAATGCAAAGCATTCTCTGAATGGTACCCATGCCGAGTGGCTAACTTTCTGTTTTCACAATGCAGCTGGGCAGCCACGCGGCATGGAACCCAGAAGTGGAGATTAGTGGAGATTACTGGAGAAGGTTCCCACGGTATGGATAATGTGTAGTTACATTGGTCCAACTTGGATCAATGTAATAATGTAAAAATATCTATATTTAGAATTATTCTTTACCAATTGTAGCCATAAATGTATATACCAGAAGCTAGACAGAAAAGACATCTTCCAGCGGTCAGATCAAAGTTGCAAGTTAGACCATTTTCTAATGTCTGTCAAGTGCATTTGTAAGCTAATTGAAAAGTGAAAGCTTGTGAGCTGCTATGTGAAGGGTAATTAATACTAAGTGCTAATTGTGAATCGCCTGCACCTAACACATACTCATACTAGTGTGCCAACCAATACTATTTAACAAAAATGTGTCGCGCTTCACTAAGAATGCTCAAAATAAATAATATATATATGGGTGCAACCAGGTGCTGATATAGATATCGGGTGACAAAAAAAGAAAAAATATATGTGTGAACCAATATCAATTTTCAAAACAAATATGCATATACAAGTTATGAACAAAAGACAAAATACCAAAAATAATGTCCATATCCATATCAAAAGATATAATAAAAGAAAATTATATAAAGAAGTCCATAAATATGTGCTTTTTCCATCATGCCTAGTTCCTTTTAAAATAAAATATCCCGTGCTTCTTAAATGATTTCTTATGTGAACAAACTTGCATTTATTGTGCTCCCCCACCAGATGTACTCTCACCTCAGGTACATGACCAAACTGTTAAGTGAGGTCATATCACACTTGTGTCCCTTTAAATGTGTCAAAAAATGAATGAGATGGTATCCTGCTGTTTGGGGTCCTTCTCCTCTCAAACGATAGGCTCCCTTTAAATGGGCCAAAATGGATGGGATGGTATCCTGCTGTTTGGGGTCTTTTCCCTACTCAAACGATAGGCTCCCCTTCCACGGTGGTTAATATAGAGGAATAATCAATTTATAGTGTATTATCCTTTTAAAACCATTTTATTAATAAAGTGTTGCACGCACATGATACATGATATGTATGGTTTCACTAACACATGTCAATGTTGAAAAATTGTGCTTAGGCATTTAGATTTGTTTTACCCTTAGTCGTGAAGGGTTTAATAAAGTATTGCACTCTGTATAAAAAATGCTTTGTGCACAAAATGTGTCCTCCGGATTTTTTTCAATGGTGAATATCCTAAAGTGTCCAGCTGGTGTCAGTATGGAACCCTCGAGCGTCGTGATGTCAAAGCCCCTCCCCTACGCGTTACGCCACTGGGGATGAAGCCACGTGACCGGTGGTGTAACATAGGGGAGGGGCTTTGATGTCATGGCGCTTGAGGGTTTCATACTGACACTAACTGGACACTTTAGGATATTCACCATTGAAAAAAATCCAGAGGACACATTTTGTGCACAAAGCATTTTTTATACAGAGTGCAATACTTTATTAAACCCTTCACGACTAAGGGTAAAACAAATCTAAATGCCTAAGCACAATTTTTCAACATTGACATGTGTTAGTGAAACCATACATATCATCACAACTACTTTGTACATACAGGTGAATTATTCCGCATTTTTTTTCAGGACAAATTGGGCTATAATTTGGTGGTAAATGGTAATGGATATCTCCTGATTTTTTTTTATCAAAGGAAAACTGGCCGAAAATAGTGTGTGTTTCTTGTTACTACCATAACCTACCACCAAAAAAAAACCCCAAATAAATTCTCCAGCTCTTGACGATCGCAGCAATATCATATAAGTGTAAATTATTTGTTGTTTGTACCCGTAGTACAGCCCAAAAACAATAGTGCACATTTTGTTTTTGTTTTTGTTTTTTTACCTAAAACACACTGACATTGACACTAACTGACACCAATTTTATTTTTTAAAAAATCCTGACCTTTGACCCTGACCATTTGACCTTGACCCTGACCTTGACACTAACACTAACCCCAGCCCTGAACTAGATCAAACCTTGATCTAGGTATTTTTTCTCTATTTTTTATTTTATTTTTTAATATTTATTTATTTATCTTTATTTTATTTATTTTTTTAACAAACATTTTTTTTATCTCTATGCCAGGAGTTAGAGAGATACAATGTATCTCTCTTCCCCATTCATAGAGAGAGAAAAAAACAAGGGGGCCAGGCTGTACAGTGACTGATCACTGTGATAGCCAATCAGAGGCTATCACAGCGATGATGTGACCTGGAATCGGGAGAATCGGGACCCGATCGTTAGAACGGGATCTGGTGCTCTCAGTGACACTGCGGTCTTTCTGCTGGGAGCGCGCCGTGCGGTGTGCTCCCAGCACAAAGACAGGTATGCAAATATGCGGCCACACGTAAAAAAACCCAGTTCTGTGAGGCCGCATATTTGTGTGATGTCGGCGTCAAGGGGTTAATAAAACGGTTTTTAAAAGGATAATACACTATGATTTGATTATTCCTCTATATTAACCATTGTGGAAGGGGAACGTATGAATAGGAGAAGGACCACATACAGCAGGATACCATCTCATTCATTTTTGGCACATTTAAAGGGAGCCTATCGTTTGAGTGGAGAAGGACCTCAAACAGCAGGATACCATCTCATTCATTTTTGGCACATTTAAAGGGACACAAGTGTGATGTGACCTCACTTAACGGTTTGGTCATGTACCTGAGGTGAGAGTACATCTGGTGGGGGATGTCACATAAGAAATCAATGAAGAAGCACGGGATATTTTATTTTAAAAGGAACTAGGCATGATGGAAAAAGCACATATTTATGGACTTCTTTATATAATTTTCTTTTATTATATCTTTTGATATGGATATGGACATTATTTTTGGTATTTCGTCTTTTGTTCATAACTTGCATATGCATTTTTGTTTTGAAAATTTATATTGGTTCACACATATATTTTTTCTTTTTTTGTCACCCGATATCTATATCAGCACCTGGTTGCACCCATTATATATTATTTATTTTGAACATTCTTAGTGAAGCACGGCACATTTTTGTTAAATAGTATTTGTAAGCAACTTTCACATTCAATGTTATAACAACCTTTAAAATGGTTTTCAACAAACCACACAGTATTAGACTATTAAATCTATTAAACAAAGGAACACTTCTTTTCCATATGTACAGATAATTATCCAGCATATTCAAGTAAAATATCCTGTTGTGTGATTATAAATGGGAGGAACCAGAATGGCTGCTAAATTGGTTCCATGTAGTCAGTGCTCTTCCGTCTTCAGTATACTGCATGTTTACCCCAGACTGCGGAATGTGCTCTGGCTCCTACTAAGCTGACAGCAAGACAAGTGTGTGTAATGGAGTAATGGTGTTGTTACTGTTTTGCAGTGTCTGCTTCATTTGAGGGAAAGCAACATCTCCTCAGCCTGCCTGTGGTGAACAGCATAGGGTATGTCCTGCGCTTCCTTAAAAAACTCTGCCGCAGTCTGATCTGTGACAATCTGTTCAGCAATCAGCCCTTTGTACAGTACAGCACCACCTCAGACAACCCCAAGGAATATGACACTGGCAGGATGGAGACAGGTAAGTCTCACGTTTCAAAGAATCCTTTTAAGTGATGAGCAAATTCATTGACAAATGAGGCAAATCAGTGAAATGCATTTTTCTTTTTTATTCACCTATGTATGTATGCAGTTCTGTCCAATCTGCAGAGAATAATACAACACAAGGATCACAATTGTACTGGTTCCTTATTTGTACCCATGAGTATGCCAGGTCAATGTGCAAATAATGTGTATGATAAGCCCAAACTTTCATTTTTTTTATTTTGGATACAGTAGTGAGAAGGTTAGAATCTCTATTATTATTATTATTAGGATATATTGCTGTCTGTGTCACCGTTCAGCAGATTCACTTTCTTGATTTGTCCTGGTGATCACTGTCAGAGATTGCACGTGATCGAAAATTCTACATTTTTACAGTTGGCACCAGAACAAGAATAGACGAGAAATCTTCCATTGGGGACGTTTGTTCACTTTGGAGAGATGTCATCTTGCTTCCTGTTGTGTCAACAGAAAGTCATGAGAAATCTCCACAGATGGTAAAAAAAAAACTAACATCCTCCACTCTATCCAAAATAAGAATAAAAGGTTTGGCTTTAGGTACATTTTAAACATATCAAGAATTAGCCAATCAGTGGTTCTCCTTATTGCATCATCACCATATTGCTTTCAATTTTTATACCAATTATAAAAATATTATGTGTAGTATAATAAGCACATAGCAGGCACACATGATATAAATGGTTTTCATGGCTAAAAGAAATCTTTCAAGATAGGAATACCTACATTGCCAACTTGTTATTAACCACTTGCCCTCCAGAGGATTTACCCCCCTTCCTGAGCAGGGCATTTTTTGCAAGACGGTGCTGCATTACTTTAATTGCATGGTCATGCAACACTACACCCACATGAAATTTATGTCCTTTTTTCCTCACAAATGGAGCTTTCTTTTGGTGGTGTTTGATCGCCTGTGCGTTTTTAATTTGTTGCACTATAAACATAAAAAGACCGACAATTTTAAAAAAAAACAATATTTTTGACCTTTTGCTATAAAACATATCCAGTAAAAAATCAAATTTCGTAATAAGTTTAGGCAAAAATGTATTCTGCTACATTTCTTTGCTGAAAAAAAATCCCAATACATGTAAATGAATTGGTTTACATGACAGTTATAGCGTCTACAAATGACGGTATATATACTGTAAGTTTTTTTTTATATACTAGTAATGGCGTCAATCAGCGACTTATAGTGGGACTGCAGGACTGCGGCGGGCATTCTGACACTGGAGGGGAACTTACTAACTGCCACTGACATCCACACTGACACTAATACAGTGATCAGTGCTCATAAAAAGCACTGACACTGTATTAATGACACTGGGCAGGAAGGGGTTAACATCTGGGGCAATCAAAGGGTTAACTGTGTGCTGTTTTACTATGTTGTCTGTATGTGCTTTACTGTGCATAGCAGAGCAATACAAAGCAATGTGCTGGTGCTGACAGGGGAGAGATCTGTATTGTTTACAAACAGACCTCTCTTCTGTCACTTCCTCAGCAATTGCCGGGTGCCAGCGGGGAATCTCTGTCTGGGACCCGGTGATCGACAGTTGTAGCCACCCAATGGCGGCGCGGGCAGGGCAGCGTGTGCATGCCCCCTACCTAGAAATACAAAATTATGTGTATATGTGTGATCTTGCGCAGCCCTGCTGCCCTATAGCAGTACTTCTGCTATAGGGCGGTCAGGAAATAGTTAAAGATGCAAGCTCCAGAGCTGTCACCTCTATCATTACTTTATTATTTAGTGAGTCAGTGAGCTGGAACAAGTATTTCTAAATTAGGTGTCTATCACCTGATATGCACAAACTTGTTCTAAGTCAGTGGTTCACCAAACAAGGCGACATTTATATAAGTGTGGCCAGGGGTGACCGCCAACAAGAATCAGTTGATTCCTGCTGTTGGTTGTAAAAGCTGTTTCTACACATTCCCTGGAATTCATAAAAACTGGTGAAGACAGATTTTGTAAAAGTTTATCTCATGCCTTCTAAAAGTCGTGCAACATGCGCTAAATTCATGTACCTGTCTAGAATTTGTACTTGAATGTAATGCATGCTGAGCCACTTTTCAAATCCACAGGAGATACTTTTGCAAAATCTGTCTATGCCAGTTTCTCTCTGTGTATGCAAAAAGAAAGTTCATAAATTAATTAGCTCTACTTTCATAAGATACGAAAGGTCAGTTTTTTTGTGTTTTTTTTTAATTTGGTGCATTCAATTTACCACAATATAAAAGTGACATGTTTTACAACTACTGAATTTGGTGTACAAGTCACTTTCAGAACCAAAAATGTTGCAAATGCTTCATAAATTTGACTCGATACATTAACCAGAGGGTTTAATGCCAGAAAAGTGGCCCAGCAGCTTTATTGAATTCCCCCCACTGTGTGTCAACAGCTGCAGCTATCAGCAGTGGCTGCCAGATTTGTACTTTGTACAAATCAATGGCAGGCACTGCTGCTGTTCGCATGTAACTACTCATCTTAATGGTTACAAGCAAATAAATCTTCCAACTGACAATGGACGAGCCAGTGTTCATCCAGTGTCGGTGTTTCTGTGGAGTTTTGGCTGTGCACAAACTGGCTGCAGCTAATCACAGATTGTTGCTGCGTCCAGAGGTGGCGTTTATTCCCCTTAACGCAGCAAACTATCTGTGGCTAGACTGTCTTGTAAATGCAGCCTAATAAAGAAAGTTTCAGAGTGACAGCTGTGGAGAATGCATCTTTGGAAGAATGTCAGCAATAACATCTCCCACATTGTCATCCTAACAGGTTGCATTTACTAATCAAAGACATATTACGGCCGATATACTAAACGAAAGCGGAGACAACTAAATTAAAAATACTGTTCAATTATCCAGTCATATGCAGATAACATAAAAAAAAAAGGAATTTGCTTTTTATTGTATGTCTAAGACAGAAGATGGGTCTGGAATTTAATATATGTACCCCCCCCCCCCCGGCGTGACACCATCCCAGCATATGTCTAGAACAGAAAACAGAAATCCGGAGTGTTCAGTTGCTTCCGGTCATACCAAGTGGTCCTGTTCTATCTCCAGTGAAAATGGGACTTTGTATGTCCCAGCCACCAGGAGGATAAATCTGTAATATCACATCGAACAACAGTAATAAAAAAAATATATATACTTTTATTGGTCCATCATTATAAAAATGAAGTCTCACTTCACATTTTCAAACCAAATGGTCTTTGATGATGACATGAGCATGTGGTTACATCCGTATAGCAGTAAGATGCACAATAAGCGTATAGGATCCTGTATGCTTATTGTGCATATCACTGCTAAATGAATGTAACCATATGCTCAAATCATCATCAAAGACCATTTGGTTTGAAAATGCGAAGTGTGACTTTTTTTTAAAGGATCAACCAATGAAAGTATATATATATTTTTTTATTACTTTGTTCGATGTGATATTACGTGGCTGACACATACAAAGTCCCATTTTCACTGGCAATAGAACAGAACCACCCGGTTTGACCAGATGCAACTGTACACTCTGGTTTTCTGTTCTAGAATTTGTTTTTCATATAATTAAAATTAGTCTTCACTCATTTTTTTGTGTGAACCTTCTCAACTACCTTAGTAAATCAGTCCCAAAGTTTTAAATTTTGTAGTATAATTTGTGGCTTAGTGAGCAGAGGCACACCTTTTGGTGTTTTCTTGGGGAAATGACACAGTAAAAGGATGTTGATGAATTCAAACCATTTATCAGAGTGTTTGAAATGTGCCTTACTAAGAATCACCAAAATATCTACCATCACCTATGTGTACTGTATGTGGATTTCTTTGGGCTGAATGTATTCTCAAATATATGTCTAATCCCATTATGGTAAAGGCAGGGGCGGACTGACAACTCATGGGGCCACCGGGCAATAGGGGATCATGGGACCCCTGTGTCCTTGCCCAAACTCCAAAAAGCCTATGAACAAGGTACCAGGGGCATCTCATGGGGCCCCCTACTGACCCCGGGCCCGAGTTTCCAAATGGTCAGTCCGCCCCTGGGTAAAGGTAAATGGTTGTGTCTTACTATACAGTATATAAAAATAGGACCTACTCTTTCCAACTTCCTGGCATTCAGTGCCTAAAGGAAAAGCTAGTCTAGTTGCCTGCAGCATTCAGTTAGATTGTGAACCCTATATTGCATACATGAATGGTAGAATATTATTGGCTGCTAGATCATCTATTCCTTCAATATTCATTTTAACCATAAGATCTAGCATACTGTATGTATCTATAATGTACACTCATGTATGATTGATGTAGCTTTCTAGCCAATCAGGGTGATTTCCAGCAATTCTTTGTTGTATTCAGACTGACAGGAGTTTCAATAGTCATCTTCCTAGCTGTAAACTGTTTGGAAAAAGACAGTCAACATTCTCTAGTTCATATGGTTTGTATTCGGCTAAAATGGATCAAGGGATAAACACTTGGAAAAATAATTACACATAACTGTTTAAAAGCTAGAGTTTAATTAAAATGGATAAATGCTTTGTTTGAACATGAACAGCAAAAATACATAGCAATGTTAAACAGTGATCTATCTCTTAGCAGAAACTGTCATACCAGAAGATTACCTGGTAGACCCTGTGAATACAAAGCGATACAGCGTTGATCCTTCTGATTCCGCTTTCAACTATATGAGTTCCCTTTACCCTGGAAGACAGAGCAATGGAGAAGGACGTCTAAGTAGTGGCGGTGGAGGAGGAAGCTCTTCATGCAATCACCGGTCTAGCCAGATGGCTTCAGGAGGACAAGCATCAGCGGGCTTAAGACGCCAAACATCAAGTCCCACTAGAAGTGGAAGTTACCTTGAGGGAAACAGAAGTGGTAATAAAGCAAGCGGTTTGCTTACTTGAATAGTGATTAGATAAGTAATTATGAATAGAAAATAGCACATTATTTTATAAACCCCTTTCCTTCTTTAAACCAAATTGCATATGAAAATCTACCACTATTACTTATATTCTGTAAAGACAAAAACG